GGGGTCAGGATTTAAATTCAGGCTAGTCTGATGTTAAAAGTCATGCTTCCTCCTTTCTGTTTCTTTTTTCAAATTTTATTCTTTTAAATAGTGAATACTTGTAAATAGTAAATATTTTGCATTTCAAATACAAATGTGACATAAATAGCATACATCCTGTCTCTATCCACCTTCTCCAGTGTTCCACAGGTGGCAGCTTGAATGAACTTCTTGTGTATCTAGCAATTCCTTATGTAAATAAAACACATATGAATATACATTGTTACTTCTCCCTCTTTCATATGCAAAATGTAGCATCTTATATATGGCTTTCTATACCTTGCTTTTTCACTTAATATAGCATACCAGAGACTCTTCTATGATGTTGTTGTTGCTTGTTATGTGCTGTTGAGTCGGACTCAACTCATAGCAACCCCACATTGGGTTTCCAAGATGGTATCGCTATGGAAGTAGATTGCCCAACCTTCCTCCCGAGGAGTGGCTGGTGGGTTTGAACTGCCAGCCTTCTGGTTAGCAGTCAAACACCTTAGGGACTATGTTACCAGAGCTCCTAAGAGCATTCATCAATCTTTTTTTTTCTTTTTTAAATAGGTGCATAGCACTCCAGCAACTGGATTTACCAAAAATTGTTTACCTGGTTACCCAAGATGGTCACTTAGGTTCTTCCCAATCTTTTGCTATTGAAACAAACAAAGCTTATGCTTTGAACCTGCTTCCGAAGGCAAAATAGGAAACTCATAAATTTAATCACCCTTGAAATAAATCCCTTTCCTAAAAAATTAACTACTCTGAAGGATATACCCCTCAATGAGATGTGCTATTTGGTAAATACTTGTTAAAAAACCCACCACCACCACCAATGAAGCTAATTGCATTACACTAGAGTCATAGCCTCAGTGTGGGCCATAGAAGATTATATCTTTCTAGGTTGGATATGTGATACACACTTGTCAGGAAGGAAGCCCAAGGATTTCCCAACACCCTGGTAGCATAGCACCAAAACATTTGACTGCTAACCAGAAGGCTGGCAGTTCAAACCACCAGCCACTCCTCGGAAGGAAAGTTGGGCAATCTACTTCCACGGTGATACCGCCTTGGAAACCCAAGGAGGGGTCGCTATGAGTTGGGGCCAACTCGACGGCACATAACAACAACAACAACAAGTAACATTCTGAATCCTTTATTTTTACTTATTCAGCATATTATTTCTGCTGCTTAAGATTTGCGGAGAGGAATCAAATATTCAATACTGAATCATATGGTGAACTGTCATATAAGTGGATTATACATGTCATTGTACATGGTCACTCAGGAAAATGAAACTTCAATTCCTATCATAGAAAACTTAGACCGCAAACATTTTAAAGCTATTTGAGAATTTCTATTATCAGATATATAAAAACTTGACAATTTATTTCATCTGTTTTTTTAAAGAAACCATTACTTCAGTAACGCTGCATATTTTCTAAAGGGTGCTTGACATGAAATAAGTTTGAGCATTAACATGTAAAGGACAAGCAATAAAACATGTAATATGAATACAGATAAAATATCAGAGAGAGAGAGAGAGAGAGAGAAAACTGCTCTCTTCCAAAGGGAACAGAATGAAAGAACTCAAAATGCACAGTGTTTCCAAGCTAAAGAAACTGACAACAACTGAATTGAAAAGGCTGAACTTCCTATTACCTTCCCAGAACACAAACATGTATTTAGCTTAATAGACTTGAGTACTATCTCAGGAAAAATCGTATACATTATGCATCTAGGGCAATGAAAGCTGTAGAAAATGATTTTGCAAAACAAACACCCTGCAGGCTGACAGGAGCAGAGAATCCAAGGCACACACAGTGACTTTAGGTCACATTCTACATATCAACACAGGAGGAAAACAAAGCTGTGAAGGAAGCTCAGATGCCGAACAGATCCTGGGCAGAACTCTGGTTGTGATGAAGCTTAGAAAAACGCGATTGCATATATCATCTGATTATAACCACAATATGAGTTTATAGTAGAAAATTTGGAAACATATAAAGAAAACAGTTAAACTCACCTACAATCCCACCACCTAGAGAGAATCATTATTATAATATTGGCATATTCACTTGCAGCCTTTTCTCTATGTTGTTGTTGTTATTGTTAGGTGCCATCGAGTTGGTGCTGACTTATAGCTATCCTATGTACAAAAGAATGGTAATACTGCCTGGTCCTGTGCCGGTCTCACAATCCTTGCTGTACCTGAGCCCATCCTTGCAGCCACTGCGTCAATCTGTCTCATTGAGGGCCTTCCCCTTCTTCGCTGACCCTCCACTTTACCAAGCATGATCCTTCTCCAGGGAATGCTTCCTTCTGACAACATAACCAAACTAGGTGAGACGAAGTCTGCCTATTCTCACTTCCAACAAGCATTCCGGCTGCACTTCTTCCAGGACAGATTTCTTAGTTCTCCTGGCAGTCTATGGTACTTTCAGTAATCTTCCCCAACACCACAACTCTAAAGAATCAACTCTTCTTTGTCTTCCTTATTCATTGTCCAGCTTTCACATGCATATGAGGCAATTGAAAATACCATGGTTTGGGTTAGGTGAACCTTAGTCTTCAAAGAGACATCTTGGCTTGTTAGACCTTTAAAGAGGTCTTTGGTAGCATATTTGCCCGATGCAATACATTGTCTGATGTCCTGACTGCTGCTTCCATTGGTGTTGATGATGGATCCCAGTAATATGAAATTACTGACAACATCAATCTTTTCTTCATTTATCATGACAATTTATTGGTCCAGTTGTGAGGATTTTTGTTTTCTTTATGCTGAGGTGTAATCCATATTGCAGACTGTAATCTTTACTTTTCATCAGTAAGTGCTTTAAGTCATCTTCCTTTTCAGTGAGCAAAGTTGTGTTGTCTGTGTATCACAGATTATTAATGAGTCTTCCTCCAATCCTGATGCTGCATTCTTCTTCATATAGTCCAGCTTCTCAGATTATTTCCTCAGCATACAGAACAAGGAAGTATGCTGAAAGGATACAACCTTGACACACTTTCTTCCTGATTTTAAACCATGCAGTATCCTCTTGGTCTGTTTGAACCACAGCCTCCTGGTCTATGTACAGGTTTCTTATGAACACAATTAACTGTTCTGGAATTCCCATTCTTCTCAATGTTATCCATAATTTGTTATGATCCATACAGTCAAATGCTTTTGCATAGTCAATAAAACACAAGTAAACATTTTTCTGGTATTTTTTGCTTTCAGCTAAGATCCATCTGACATCATCAATGATATCCCTTGTTTCACACCCTCTTCTGAATCCAGTTTGCATTTCTGGAAGTTCCCAGTCAATATACTCTGCTGCAACCATTTTTGAGTTATCTTCAGCAGTATACATGTTTTTGTTATGTGCCGTTGAGTCAGACCCAACTCATAGCGACCCCTCCTTGGGTTTCCAAGGCAGTATCACTACGGAAGTAGGATTGCCCAACCTTCCTTCCGAGGAGTGGCTGGTGGGTTTGAACTGCCAGCCGTCTGGTTAGCAGGCAAGTGTCTTAGCCACTATGCTACCAGAGCTCCCAGCAATATACATACACTTATATATATACATATTTTTTACAAAATTGGGCCGATAAGTAAAATTTTATAAATATTTTCCTGCTCTTCATATTACCTCTTGAGTACTTCCTCATGTTGTCATACATGATTTACAAATTCAATTTTAATGACTGCATTTTATTGTATCCTATGAACTTAAGCAGAATTATTTGATTTTTTAAACACATTGCTGGACCTCTAAGTTGTTTCTAATACTTTAGTATTACAAACAGCACTGCAATGGACTTTCTTCTCACAAATCTTTGAATCTCTATTTACTTCTCAAAAGAAACTTAAAAGTATATCAGTATGTCAAGTTTAAATTTAAATCACTCAGTAAAACAGCACCTATAAATTCACTATTGAAAGTCTCTGGAGACAAAATGCAAATAATGCATATCAAATAAACAAAACTATTTTCACATCACTCGGAGTCTATATTTATCCTTCTAGAACAATCATTTTTCAGGCAGTATATTACTTCCTCTAGGCAAATGGACTATTACTGGGTTAATCTAAATGCAATAACATGAAACTTGGCTGACCCAGATTTCTGCAATATCAGTATGCATGCAATTACAATATTCTGCAGATTGAAAAAAATACCCAAGGCTCTCAAAAACACATATTTTATAGTCCCTTCATTTCAAATGGTGCACAATGGGAATTAAAATAAAATAAAGGGCTATGGTGGTTGATGTCAACTAAATTTTATATAAACATACAAGTTACATATAGTGTAACTTAGGGTTTTCTTTAATTCTCAGCTTTATTCTGTCACTTTCACAGGTGAAAGTATCTTAAGTGCTCACATCATATTAAAGCTATTAATAATTCCTCTCAAGATATAGATGGTCTTGATATTCCAATCTTAAATTTCCAATAGTCTATTTAAAAAAATTTATTGTATTTTCAAGAGGCTAAATAGAGTTCTCACTATCCTGATGAATTTTTTTTTCTCCCAGTAGACAGTGAAAAGCAAAGGAAAACAAAATACAACAAAAACCCCGCTTACAGCATTGGTCATATGAACTACAGAATCATTCAAATTCCTACACCCACTAAGAATTGATGGTCAAAGACAGTGAGGGTCAAGCTGTATAGCTGTGCAATCTGCACAAGATAAAATTGTAGGGGGTGCAACGGTGTCCTGATCTATGTGAAGAGTATCCCTTTGGGTTGTGCAATACGCAACCTGCAGAGACCCATGTGGTTACAATGAAGACAGCCTAGCTAATCTTTTTTGCTTAGCCATTACTTATTCATGCATTGTGCTCTCTAGTTAGTTATGAGAAAGTAAAGTCAGGGGAGGAAAGTGGTCTTTAAAACTATATGTATAGCATCTTTTTTTTTTTTTTTTTCTACATGAAGGAAATACTGCAAGGAAGCATGACCCAGTTCACCCAGCTCTGCCTTGTCATGACAGTGAGGCTTTCTTTCCTCCCATCTCCCCTTCCGTCCACCCACTAGGAAGCAGCAGGATACCTTGTGTGAGTAACTGTAGGTTCCTGACTTCTTCTCGCACCTTCAGCTGGAGCACCTGTTGTAGGATGTGCTGCCGGAGGTTCTCCTGGGCAATCCCCATCCGCTCAAGCTTTTTGTCGGTGAGTCTCAGCAGGGCTCGCCCTGCGGGGTTTCAAGAAATAAAAGGAAAAGCAAATGAGCAATGGCTGGAGAAGGATTTCCAGCTTGGTTTTGGCTAATTTTGCCAGAAAGAGAAGTTTCCTCTGAATACAGACAATGTGGTATGGAGTGCTCTCCATTGTTACTGCTGATATGAATGGACAAGCTGGGATGAAGACAGTTTAAAAGGGAACCCCAATTTTTATCTAATACTTGCAGTCTCTGATGGAGTCACACACTGAGATAGATAAAACAGCAAAATTTTAACCTGGATATTTGGGTCACAGATTGTATGTTTCCATGGAAAAAATGCTCTTCATAGGGGGCTGGGTTTCTAGGCTGACTGACTAAAAAAAACCTCACTGCCATAGAGCTGGTTCTAACTCATAGTGACCCCTTCTTGGGTTTTCGAGGTGGTATCTCTACGGAAGTAGATTGCCCAGTCTTCCTTCTGAGGAGTGGCTGGTGGGTTTGAACTGCCAGCCTTCTGGTTAGCAGTCAAATGTGTTAGACACTGTGCCACCAGAGCTCACAGGAGCCCATATTATTGACAAACCAGCTGAAGAACTGGGGGCTCTGTCACTGTGGTTATACAGAAACTCCAGCAACATTTAATACAAATTACAATGGAATTTCTGTGAAAAGTGCATTTAAAGTTTCAGTTTTGATCTATAGACATCTGAGTCCCCTGCTGCACCCCTGGGAATAGGTGGGAAGTTTCATATCTAGTTGGTGGGAGCTATGTCATAATCCCAATCATTGGCTGTCATGGACTGAATCATATCTCTCCAAAAATATGTGGCACTCTGGCTGGGTTATGATTTCTGTGGTTTGGCAGTTATATAACAATGCAAACATCCCCTATGATGTAATTTGATATGATTAGCCAATCAGCTGTAAGGGGATTAGAGTGGGCTATAACATTCTTACCCAGGTTGCATTCTTGATCTGATGTGAGGGGTGTTTCCTGGGGTATGGCCTGCATCACCTTTTATGTTTTAAGAGATAAACAGAGAAAGAGGCTAGCAGAGGGAAAGGGACCTGACTACAACTAAGAAAGAAGAGCCAGGAGCAAAGCATGTCCTTTGGCCCTGGGGTCCCTATGCCAAGAACCTCAAAGACTCGGGGGAATATTGATGGCAAGACACTGGTAGATCTCCAAGGGACACCAGGGATACAGATGTTGAAAGGAGACAAGAACTTTGCCCTTGTTGACGTAGAGAGAAAATCTTCCCCTAGAGCTGGTGCCTTGAATTCAGACTTCTAGCCTCTTAAACTGTGAGATAATAAATTTATGTTTGTGAAAGCCATCCACTAGAGGCTCTTCCATTATAGCAGTGCTAGGTTACTGAAACACTCATCTAGGGCAGGGGTTCCAGCATGGCTAACGGTGAGAGAAGCCAGGAGTACAAGCATCCAAAGACTGCAGAAACAAGGAGCCCTGGGGTGTGAGTACCTGCGATGTGCAGACCCCTGTGGGTCTAGTCAGCATCTCTTGGTTTCCTTTCACCTCATTTCTTTTCCCTGGAGGTCTGCATGCTTTCATTCCTACCATGGTTTCTATCAAATTCCCAAAATCTTCCCCTCTCCATGCCTGTCCTGAAATAACCATTCTTCCATTTTGAGGGGGCTTACTGACAAACAAGGAAAAATGGTAGTTATGAAATGCCCATAGCATCACCCTGTCCTCTTTCTGTTCCCTAAATCCTCAGTCATCACACCTGCACATCTTTTCCCATACTGATTGATAAAAAATAGGATCAACTGCATGTAACAATGCTACGTCTCTGGGTATAAAGTCATATGATGATGATGATGATGATGATAGCTGCCATTGACTCACGATGGCCTTATGGACAACAGAATGAAACACTGACAAGTCCCGTGTCGCCCTCACAATCATGGAATGCTTTAAGTCCATTATTGTAGCTACTGTGCCAATCCACTTCACTGAGGCTCTTCCTTGCCCTGGCTTGCCTTCTACTTCACTAAATATGATGCCCTCCATCAACTGATCCCTCCTAATGATGTGCCCGAAGCATGCAAGTTGGACAGTGTTCTGTTGTGATCTGGAATGTTTTCACTGCGTTATTTCTGGAAGTAGATTAGCAGGCTTTCCTCCTTAGTCTGTCTTCATCTAGAAGTTCAGCTGAAACTTGTCCAAAGGAACTTGGGTTACTCTGCCAATGTTTGAAATACTGGTAGTATAGCTTCCAGCATTATGTTGTTGCTGTTGTTATGTGCCGTCGAGTTGGCCCCGACTCATAGCAACCCCTCCTTGGGTTTCTGAGGCAGTATCACTACAGAAGTAGATTGTCCAACCTTCTTTCCGAGGAGTGGCTGGTGGGTTTGAACC